TTTCCCAAGGTGGCCATGCCACATTCTGTTCCCACCAGGATGTATGAGGGTTCTAATTTCTCATGTCCTTGTCAATGCTTACTATTCATCTTTTTGAATTGCAGCTCTTTATGGTTTTGATTTGCAATCACTGATGACTGGTGATGTTGAGCGTTATCTCCTCATTGCCATTTGTTTACCTGTTGGAGAAATATTTTTTCAATTCTTTACCCATTTTTAAGTGTTTACCTTTTTATTGTTGAATTCAGAAAGTTAGTAATATATTCTGGATATTAGACCTTTATCAGATTTACGATTTGCAGGTATGTTCTTCCTTTTTTGTGGGTTGTCTTTTCATTTTGGTGAAGTCCAGTTTTCCTCCTTGTGTTTTAGGTGTCATGTGCAAGACATGATTCCTAAATCCAGTCATAATATTTATATCTATGTTTAATCCTAACGGTTTTACAGTTTTTGCTCTTACGTTTAGGTCTTAGATCTGTTTTTAGCCAGTTTTTATTCGTACTTTGAGGTAGGGATTCATCTTCTTTCTTTTGCATGTGACTCCTCATTGTTCTTTTCCCATTGAATTGTTGCGACACCCTACTAAAAACTAAGTGACCAGGCTGAGGAGTGTAGCTCATTGGTAGAACACTTGCCTGTTTCTTGTATGTGCAAGGTTGTGGGTTCAATCCCCAGCACCACAAACAAACAGAAAATAAATGAATGATGAATGAATGAATAAAATGGCCTACATATCTTAAGCAAAACTAATGATCATAAGTATATGGATTTATTTTTGGACTCTATTCCACTAATCTGTTTCTATTTTTATGCCAGTCCCACATAGTTTTTATTTATATATTTTGCTTTATAGTAGATTTTGAAATTGGAAAATGTGAGTCTTTCAACTTTGTTTTTTTCAAGGTAGTTTTAATTATTCTGGTTTTTTTGCATTTCCATGTGGATTTTAGGATCAGCCTGTCAATATTTAAAATTTTTTTTTTTTGGTGGTACTAGGGATTGAACCCAGGGGTGCCTAACCATTGAACTATGGCCCCAACCCTTTTTATATTTTATTTTGAAAAGGGGGCTGGAGATATAGCTCAGTTGGTAGAGTGCTTGACTTGCATGCACCATACACACAAGCACCATACACACAAGCAAAATGAATAAAACGGTCTTGCTAAGCTTTGCAGAGGCGGGCCTCAAACTTGTGATCCTTCTGTCTTAGCCTCCCAAGTCAACTGGAATTATAAGCAAGTGCTACTGTGGCCACCCTACTGAGATTTTTTGCATGTGGTTTAAGATTAATTTAGAGATTATTGCCATTTTAATATTGTCTTCCATCTAGGTGTGGTGGCACATGCCTTTAATTCCAGTGACTTAGGAGTCTGAGGCAGGAGAATTGCAAGTTGGTGGCCAGCCTGGGCAACTTTGTGTTTCAAAATAAAAAAAAGGCTTGGTGGAAGGGAGGGGATGTGGTTCTGTGGTAAAGTATTATTGGGTTCAATTCCCTGTACTACACGGAAGGAAGGAAGGAAGGAAGGAAGGAAGGAAGGAAGGAAGGAAGGAAGGAAGGAGGAAGGGAAAAGAAAAGAGGGAAAAGGGAAAGGAAAAAAGAAAAAGAAATATGGTCTTTTAGTCCTTGAACATGAGATTTTCCTACTTACTAGGTCTTATATAATATCTGGGGGCATGGAGTGTACCCTATGTGTGGTCTGTGTTTACAGTATGATGGAGCTGTGGTTGGTTCAGATTTCTCTCAAAGACCACACACGTTAGATCAGGAAAAGAATCTGGTGAGCATGAGTGGCAATGAATAATTACTTTGGGTACTTTGGTTCTGGTTTCTCATTGCCTGATAAGGTCTGTCCCAGGCTGCAGGACTGCCTCAACTCCAGCCTTCTCCATGTGGACTATAAATAGCCTTTTCAGGGGTTGTTAGATATGAAGTTAACATTTGCTAAGATGGATTTCTATGTGCTCTAATTTTAGCAGGAAAGATGTGAAACTCTATTTGGCAAACTATTATCCAAATAAAGTTATATCAAAAAATGAATTTCTTAGGTTCATTTTATGAACTAATTTTAGTCAGCTCTTGATTACATTTCCTGTGGGTAGAGCATGTTTCACACTTGGTAACTGACTCTCATTTAAAGAGAATGAATGGCCAAATTAAATGAATGTCCTTTTGAGCTGTTTCAAGTGCATGCTTTTCTGATTGGTTTTGTTTGCTTTATTCAATGGAGAGAGTAATTCTTTGTGACCAATTTCATTTTAAGAGGGCAATGTTGAGTGATTTTTTTTTATAATTTAAAATATGAATAATTATGCTCCCTCATTTGTACTTGATGGAAACTGAGAACTGAAGTCTCTTGGCTTTTTTTTTTCCTTTTTCTGGCTCTGCACACTGCTGCCCATAATGTTTTGGACAGGTGTGCTGTACTGAATTTTAGGCAAATCAAATTTTCTCTTTTAATTTTCAAAAACAACTCTTGTATCTCTGTCAAGAAATGAAAAAAATGAGATTAAATTAGAAGGGGATTGTATTTTTCTTTGCTTTTACTCCCAAGGAAGTGCAAGAAACAAGAGCATCCTTGAATAATAGTTGACCCATAGCTGTGCTAGTATTGAAGTACTTTTTTAAAAAATCGGTATTTAAAATTTAGTTAAATAGGAAGATATATTTGTTTACTGGTGATTATTAACATTGCTTTACAGATTCTGGAATGTTTATTAGGTTATAATATGTGGTTTAAATATTTTTCAGTTATCCAAGCCTTTTGTTTATTCAGTGCAAATTAATGTTTTATGAAATCAGCAGATGTGCTAACAGTATCATAAATGACATTACAGTATATTTTACAGATAATAGTGAACAGCTGTTACTCTATCTCCACAAATTAGGAAGAAAAAAGTTTAGGTTATATTTTGTTGAACATAAACGTAATTCTCTAACACAAGATATATTAAGACATAAATCTTCATGACTGATATTTATTAAAAAATACTATTTAGCATTTTAGTATATGCTATGTAGCCAGTATGAAACTCTTTACATACATTATCTCATTTATTCTGTGAAGTCCTCTAAGGTAAAACTTATTTTCCCCATGTTTCAGATGAAAAAGCTGGAGCTCACAGAGGTTCACTAACTTCCTGTGGTTGCCCAGTGTGTAAGGGAACTGCTCAGAGATTGAAACCAGGGGTCTGACTGTAGAACCTGTGCTCTTGACCTCAGTGGAACAGGAAGGGGATAAGCCTGGGCTGTTTGTCCTAATGGTGGACACTCAGTTGGTAATGGGCGGGGCAGGTGACTGAGAGTAACCATACAAGCAGAGAAATGCCACTCTCATGGTTTGTCAGAAGTCAAATGAAAAAGAATGTGGCTCTGATTTTTTCATTCTTTCCAATGGTTTATGAATTCCCAAGGACATGGTGTGATTTATCTATGAATTACTTAAAACAGACAACATTCAAAATTCTTTTATGATAACAAAGTTTTCTATATTGTATGAAAAACTTGGAAATCAGCACAAAAGACCATAAGACCTATCTGCATAAATGGGGAAAACAATACAGATATAACTAAGAGATATAGAAAACTCAGCTTTGTAAGTAATCAGATAAGTGCAAATTTAAACCATAATTGGTAAGAGTTTAGCCTGGTAAATTAGCAAAAATTTATAAAATGTTAATCCCCAAAGCTGTTATTCTCATTCATTGATGATGGCATTTTAAAGTAGTACATTAGAAAAATAAAATAGTTCATTCAGTAAATAAATGTCCCTCTTTTCTGGTACTAATTCAATAAACATGAATGCCCATACTTCTTTTTCTCTGATATTGAGAAGCATATTTTATTAAACTAATCTGCATTAGACAAGAAAAACTGCATTATTTCTTTTTTTTTTTATTAACCACAAAAGAAAATAATTAACAGCTGGAGCACAAAAAATGTTGATTTAGTGTTTTCCTTAAAATTATTAACCATGAGAGATATATTTTAATTGCCAACCAACTGAAAGTTTAAATTGTATTATAATCTGTCAGTAATCCAGTTGCTTATATATAGTCTCTTGGTCCACAGGAACATGTGTGTTTCATGTATGAGGAGTCTATACTTTTGTCACTGGTTTATTAAACTTGGGAAAATAATTTCAGTTCATTATTCATTGTTAAGAGTCCCTGAAACTTTTAGAAAGTGTTATTTATTTCAAAAAACTAAAAATCATGAAGTTCATTTTATGAAAGTGATTTGTAGTTTAAAAGTGTAGTTTAGGTGGAATTGCAAGTTGGTGTAACCAATATGGAAAACAGTATGGAGATTCCTTGGAAAACTTGGAATGGAACCACCATTTGACCCAGCTATCCCATTCCTCAGTTACCCAAAGGACTTAAAAACAGCATACTATAGTGATGCAGCCACAGCAATGTTTATAGCAGCTCAGTCACAGTAGCTAAACTGTGGAACCAATCTAGATGCCCTTCAGTAGATGAATGGATAAAGAAGCTGTGGTATTATACACAATGGAATATTACTTGGCATTAAAAGAGAATAAAATCATGGCATTTGCAGGTAAATGGATAGAATGGAGAATATTATGCTAAATAAGCCAATCCCAAAAAACCAAAGGCTGAATGTTTTCTCTGATGTGTGGATGCTGATCTATAGTGGGGATGGCAGGGAGCATGGGGGGAATGGAGAAAATTTAGATAGGGCAAAGGAGAGTGAGGGGAAGGGAGGGGGAATGTGGGTAGGAAAGGTGGTGGAATGAGATGGACATCATTACCCTCCAAGTACATGTATGAAAACACGATATGTTGTGACTCTACTTTGTGTACAACCGTGAAAAATTGTGCTCTATATGTGTACTATGAATTGAAATTCATTCTGCTGTCATATATATATACAAATTAGAATAAATAAATTAATTAAATAAAAAATGTAGTTTAGTTAATATTTACTTACTGTGTGGCTGTGGCTGGACAAGTAATTCCAATAATAAATTATTTTACAGGTATTCACAGTTTTATATGGAAGATAGCTTTTGCTATTATAACATGTTTAACCATCATTTCTTTGATGGAAAGGTAAGGATTATTACCCTTATTTCTTGCTTTTCTTATTTCAGAAAAACAAATTCAGGAGTATCTCCTTTGTTATCTTTCTATCAAGGCCTAGGTTCAATGAAAACAAAAACTATATTATTGGTTGGGATTGAAAAATGAGTCTCCTGATTTAATAAATACAGCACTCTTTCATTTGAAACAATTTAGCTTTGGGACACATTATTTTTCAGCCACAATAGCCATTAAAATAAAGTATTGAAATAAATAACATTTAGAATTAGATGTGTTTCATTGTTTCCCAGAGTTTATGTGGTTGGTGATAACTGGGATTTGAGAACTGATCAGATGAGTGTGAAGGAGGGTGGGGAGTTTAAAATTGCTTGACCTTGTACCATAAGGGACTCCTCAGCAAGGGTTGTGGCAGTGGGAAAGGGGGGACAAGGAGGGCACTGTGCAGGCATTGCCCCAGTGGAAACAGGACTTTCTTCGAGGACCGAGAAGGAGGAGCTAAAGCTGCCTTATGCGAGGCCTGCAGCCATTTCTATCCCATCCTCCAAAACAGAGCAGGGAGGCTTGGAAGGGATGTCTGGAAACATGGCTGTTGTGGAGCTGGTGGGATATTGCTGTGGGGGAGTCCAGATGGCCATTTTCAAACTGCAGCCAGGAGGACAGGTCATGACAAGTGATGGGAAAGTAGGCAGAGTGGTTTAGGGTGTTTTGTTATTTGTTTTTAATATCAAACTATGATTTTCCTTTTTTTTTTTGAATAATAAATACAAATAAGGGTAAAATTACATTTAAAAAACTGTTGGCTAGAGATTTCACATATTTTCAAAAAGTATCATGTTGTTAGACTTTTTTGAGGAAACTCTGCAACTTACTATTGAAAATTTATAGAATTACCTTGTAATAAGTTTTTGAAATAATGAGTCGGATAAACTGCTATGGCTGAGGCCCACTTTATCTTTGCTCAAAGAATATAGTGGCCTACCTCATCTTTCCTTACTCTGTATTTTAGCAGCAGCCTCTAGCTAGCCCTGCGACTGTAGAGATTGATCTACAGAAGACTGTTCATCAGTCTTTTCCTGCCTATGCAAGAAAAGTTTCTCTATGGAGATTTGCCATCCCTTGGCAAAATATCTGCCTGTCCACCAGCATCTCTGTGGCTCACAGGGGACTCAGGCGCTGTACCTCAGCACTTTCTGGTCCAGTTGCTTAAAAAGCAAGAGTTCCCCTCACAGGGATTTATCATAGCAACCCAGTGTAAAAGATGTTATATGCCTTAATGGTAAGGGGGCTTCAAGGATGCCAAACTAATTAAGATGCCAGGCACGCCCTGTAGTAACTGGGGTGAGGGGAAGAGCCCAGTTTTTGTGGACCTTAGCATAAGCAACTTCTGTCTCCTAGAGGTAGCCAACACTAGAACCCTCAGAACTCATGAAGGCCATGATTCTTGATTCTTACCTGCAAAAAAATATATTTTTTTATGTTTTCTAATAAGCTAGGAGTTTAGGCATTGCTAGTTTGTGTATTAGTTAGCTGTTTTGTAGCCTAAGAACTGACAAGAACAATTAGAGGTGGAAGTTTATTTAGAGCTCACAGTTTCAGAGGTCCATAGACTGTCAGCTCCATTGCTCTGGATATAACATGACGCAGAACATCATGGCAGAAAGGTATGGAGGAGGAGGCAGCTCAGGACCTTGTACTAGGAAGTGGAGACTCTCACTCAGCATGGACAGTGTATAAACCCAAGGGCATGCGCCCAGGTACCTACCTCCTCCAGCCACACTCCACCTACTTTCAGTCCCCACCCAGTTAATCCCTTCAGGATTGATGTGCTGGTTTGGTTAGGGTTCTTGTAACCCAGTCATTTCCCCTTATAAACCTTGCATTGTCTCACACATAAGCTTTTGGGGGATACCTCACATCCAAAATAAAACAGCTTGTTTTATTTTCTCTCCTATTTTTAACTCTAAGGAATTTAGAGGGTTTCAATTTCATCTGTGTCTTATGTCCTTGCTCATGTTAGTGAGGAAGTAAGTGCTGGGCAGTGGCTGAAAATGGCTATTCTTTGACATACGTCCTCTGCTTTAGGAGTTCTACCGGGAGTTCATCCTTGTCCCTTGAATCAGTTGGATCTTCTTTTGATTTAGTAGTAGAACAATATATATTTTATTAGAACGTACATGTAGTTATTGAAGTTTAAAATGCCATTATACTTTAAAGTCCTGTGCCAATTTACTTCTGTAAACGAGTACTTGAAAAAGGGCTTCCAAGTGACTGGAGATGATATGATAGGTGTAGCTCTTATTAACTTCACCCAGAGCAAAAGATGATAAAAATCCTAGCTAATGTTGGCTTTGCATTTACGGAACACTTACATCATCCTGTTGGGAAGGTGCATTTCCAGCCTGGCTTTGTGTTGAGAACTTGTTTGTTTACTTACTGTGCATGTTCAAATAAGCCTGTCATTTACCTGATTCTCAAAAACATTTTTGACTGGTAATTTGTGGCTGTTATTGAATTGAACTCATGGTGGTGGACAAGTCAGATAGGAGAAAAACTTGTCTTATTCTTCTTTGTGTCCCCAGGGTTTAGCACTATCCCTGCTCCTGTTTGTTGAATTGAACATTTTAGATATTTTTCATGGGTAATGAGTTTCTCTCTTTTAGGTTACTAAATTTAGTTTTTTAATTTAACCATTTGAAATGTGTAGTTGTCTGATAGTGATGGTATTTGAATTTGCAATTTAAAAACCTGCTTATCAAGGAACCCAAAGATAAAATCTGAAAGGTGGGGGGGGGCAGGCTAAGACAGGCTTTGGATGTCACTGAGGGACTTTGCAGTGGCAGGGTGACTCCCTTAAGTTTCCAGGACTAAGAGTGAGACTGAGTCTAATGCATTTTCCTCCAAATAGGATAAAGTGCCTCTCTCCAGTCCTAATTTAGAAATGAATTTTTATTTTATTTGTTGCAGGCTGCCCTTGAAGTATGCAGAGCATTTTTACAGGAAGATAAAGGTGAAGGAGTCATTCTGGTGACAGACCCTCCTTTTGGTGGCTTGGTTGAACCTCTGGCTAATACATTCAAGAAGTTAATTGCTATGTGGAAAGAAGGTCAAAGCCAAGGTGTGTAATTTTTTACTGACTACAAAATAAACAAGTATCTACTTTCTGTCAAATTTTAGCCAAGCTCAGTGAATCAGAGCACTGATAGAAAATGCATGTCTCTGGCTATTCTCTTTTTAAAAACACACTTGCTTGATGATGGGGCAGACTTCATTATCGTAGTACACTTTGTATTATCCTAATCATATGTTTTTAAAATGGCTTTTAGTTAAAATACCTTTGGAAGAACATCAATGGCTTGTCATTTGTTCAATAAATATTTACTGAGTGGCTGCTGTGTGCCAGATACTGTTTAGGTATTAGGAATACATAAGTGAATAAAGTAGACGTATGTCTGCCCTACAGGCCTTACATTCCCTGTTCCTAAAGTCTTGCCCAGAGCTCTTAAGAGGCCACCCAATCTCAGGCCCAGATCTCTGAACTTTCCCAAGAGATGTGTGGAAATAGGACATTCAGTAGGCTAGTAGTAGTGGTTATTGAGGACACATAGATTCTTGCCCTAGAGGTGGGTTAATGAATGGGGACAATTATTCAGTTTAGAGTGGATTAGGACTTCAAAGCATTTTACATAATTATCTAATTAGGTAGTCATTCATATTTTTAAAGATACAGCTTCTAGCTTGTGAAATGATAAATGTGAGAAAGTCAGGAGTTGCGTGATCAAGCTTCTCCATTAATTGTGCTACACAACTATTGTGTTTTGGGGACACAGTACAAGCAAAATCTGAAACACTATCAGACAACTACACATTTCAATATTTGCTGTTCCTAAGACCATTAATCAGAGTGGATAAAGTCAGTGTTTTGTTTTAGATATAAAAGAATATTTCCATTAACCTTTGGGAAAGGTCAAGTTATAAATGGCATAGTAGTAAACATTCTCTTTTTTGTATGAGAGAGAAATGTGTTGCATGATTAAAATTTCTACCAATACCAAAAGTTTTTCAATTAAAGTTGTTTGTTTTGTTTTTTCTTTAATATTGCTATCTTCTTTTCTTTTTCTTTTTTGTGATCCATTAGATGAGAGTCACAAAGAGCTGCCCATTTTCTGGATTTTCCCTTACTTTTTTGAGTCCCGAATTTGTCAGTTTTTTCCCAGCTTTTGCATGCTGGATTACCAGGTATAGTAAATATTTTGTCTTCTGGAATGGTTGGGGAATGGATATTCTGCTTAAATAAATATCCTGACAAAGACTGTCCATGATTTTAGTAATTTAAAATATTTTGAGCTGTGTCATACATTAAAATTATTGCCATGTGTAACTTGTTCTGTGGTTCCTAATGTCTATAATCCCTAGGTGCTTGTTAAAAATACAGATTTTAATAATTTTAGATTATTTCATTAACAAGCTGTGTTATCATTCCCTTCTTTTTGGACTGCAGGTTGCTTCTCTACGTTTAAGGTGCTATAAATAACACTGCTGTAAATAACTTTAATGCATATAATTTTTTCTAGTTTTTATATAACTTCCTTGAAATGGATTTCTAAAACCGAGATTACTTTCTCAAATTTAATAGGCATTTTTTATAGTTATTGAGCCATTCATATTAACAGGTTTCTTTCCAAAAATGCATAGCATAAGCCATTTTAACCTTGACTTTTTGAGCTCTGCTTCAGGCAAAAACTACATCATAATTCCTCTCAAAGCTACTTACTCTCCTTTTTAGGGCATCCAGTTTTCTGTTTCTTGTCTTAGTTTCTGTTTCTAGAGTTGACATTTGTGATACAGAGATAGCTGATGTATCCTGGAGATATTAACTAAGTAACTCCTTCCAGCTTCCAGTAGCACCTGCTACCTCTGGCAGTAAGTCACCATCTAGTGCAATGCTTGGCACTTGGTAGGTGCCCCATGTATGTCAGATGGATAATTAAATGAACTGTGGATTTGAAGAGATCTGGGTTTTAATCCTGGACCGACTACCTGACTTCTCTCAAGCTCATCGTACCTGTTAAATGAGTACACTGATAACGAATATCTGCTTCAGAGAGGATGCATGAAAAGCCTGAACCCCGTCCTCAACACTTGCAAGTGTAGAGTAGAGGCTATTGCTGTCAGCAATGTTGTCATTTAGTTAGTCCCACGATGAGGCAAATCTCTTCCTCTGGCCCTGTTTTTACATGACATCTGAGACGTAAATTTAGCTGAGCTGGGTGCGGTGGCACACGCCTATAATCCCAGTGGCTTGGGAGGCTGAGGCAGGAGGATTGAGAATTCAAACCCAGCCTCAGCAAAAGCAAGGTGCTAAGCAACTGAGTGAGACCCTGTCTCTACAACAATTACTAATTGGGCATTATGTAAAATTGTAGATGTGTAACCGACGTGATTCTGCAATCTGCATTTGGGGTAAAATTGGGAGTTCATAACCCACTTCAATCTAATGTATGAAATATGATATGTCAAGAGCTTTGTAATGTTGTGAACTACCAATAAAAAAAATGAAAAATTAAAAAAAAAAATAGGGCTGGGAATATGGCTGTTGTTGAGTGCCCTGAGTTCAATTCCCCAGTACCATCACACCCCCCCCAAAAAAAAAAAATTGGCTAAGACAAGGTCCCTCAGATAATGGTTGCATCTATACTTAGATAAGTGTTTTCATGATGGACAAGAGTTTGAAATGGTAACAGGGGCAAGAAAAGGAGCTCTTTAAAGCAGTGGCTGAGAGAGTTTCATATGGCATAACCTCCTGTGCTGCTTACTCGGGCAACCTGTGTTACCAAGAACTTGAGAAAATATCCAGGGATAGTTTGATGAATAGTTGTTGCAAGGCCCAACTTTATTAGAAATAACTAGGGGCTAGGGATGTGGCTCAAGCGGTAGTACGCTCACCTGGCATGTGTGTGGCCTGGGTTTGATCCTCAGCACCACATACCAACAAAGATGTTGTGTCCGCCGAAAACAAAAAAGTAAATATTAAAAAATTTCTCTCCCTCCCTCTCTCTCTCTCTCTCTCTCTCTCTCTCTCTCTCTCTCTCTCCCTCTCCCTCTCTCTCTCTCTCCCTCTCCCTCTCTCTCTCTCTCTCTCTCATTCTCTCTTTAAAAAAAGAAAGAAATAACTATAAACAATTAAGTGTATTGAAGAAAAATGGTTCTGGTCAGCCGGGCACAGTGGCACATGCGTATAATCCCAGTGTCTTGGGAGGCTTAGGCAGGAGGATCAAAAGTTCTAGGCTCCTCTGGGCAACTTAGCAAGACTCTCCCTCAAAAAGAAAAAAGTGTGATGTAGCTCAGTGATAGAGTGCCCCTGGGTTCAAACCTAGTGAGTGTGCACATGTGTGTGCACACATATACACACACAGGTTCTTGTTAGATCATATGTGGCTGACAGGGTGAAAAGTCTTTTTTTTTGTAAAGAGCCAACTTTTGGAAAGACGAGTGAGAATAAAATCTATAAAACCTAAGTTTTTTCATGAGTCCTACTAAGAGTAAGAATAGTTCTGCTCATTATGTGCTCATGTTGGAGAAACTGATTTCACTACATATCCTGGTATATTAATCTTGTTTACTGTATCTCCCTTTGAGCTTTTTGCATTTCTTTTTTATTTTTGAAAATGTCTCTGGACCTATTGTTATTTCATTTCTGAGCCTTTTGCTTTCTTCTTTTGTTACTTTAACTTCATTTTCTGGTCCTATTTTCCTTTAATATTATTAGCCTTTATCAAATGAAAAATTTGAAAGTCTTCTCTCCTTCTTCACAGATCTTTCTCCATAGATCTTGATTAGGCATGTTTTCTGACATTGCTGAAAATGATTGTAAGCCCTGAAGCCACAGTGCAATAAAAAAACCAAAATCATTAAATCTCTTTTTTAGGAATACTTTTCAGATAAATGGAAGGAATAAATGCTACAAATATTCATAAAATATAAATTATGTAGGCTTGTGATAAAGCACTTGATAAGTGCAGAATAAAATAGTTATCAAAGACCTAGAAAAACCAGGAGTTATTATTAAGGACAGATTATAAAGGAAGGATGTAATAATGAAAAGAAATTTTGATTTAAAGTCAGTGTCATTTAGAGGCTATTTAATCTTGGGGGAAGTCACTTGATCTTTCCAGGTTCCTGTTTCCCTACCTGTAAAATAAAATGATTGAGCTAAGGGTAGTGGTACTACTTCGGAGGCTGAGGCAGGAGAATCACAAGTTTGAGGTCAGCCTCCGCAATTTAGCAAGATTTGTCTAAAAATAAAAAAAAATAAGAAAGAGCTGAGAATGTACCTTACAGTTATAAAGTCTCTGGGTTAAATCCCCAGTACCTGAGTGGAGGGGAGAGGAGTTATGTCTGGGAAAAAGAAAGATTTAATCAGAAAAGGGATGGTAAATAAGTTTCACTTTTAGTGCTAAATCTGATAAATGGAAGTGACTTTCTGGATTTGTTGAGGCTATCAGCCTCAAGCAGCAGAGTAACATGATTGAATAGTGATGTCTGCCATCCGCTCAGAGTCAGGGAGTGTCGGTGTTCATGTCCTATAGTTACCACTTGTGAATTCGGTGGTCTCACGTCTCTTCCTCATTGAACATTCTCTTTTCTCTTGTTTCTGTTTAACCTGGACACTTACCTGGAGTGTGGAAGGTACAGCTGTTTGCTTTTGTCAAAGCTACTCTTTTGTGAAGTGAGCCTGCGTAGAAAACTTTCAACATTAGCTTTATGGTCAGAAAAGAAACTCTTTGACAGGAATTTCTGGGAAATTATTGCACATTAAAAGATGTCAACTAAAACTTTGAAACTCAGTATATAATAAACGGGGGGGGGGGTAAGAGACACATGGGAATTTTAACTAAGGGCTACCTAAGATACGGGGAATATAACTGAAAGATTTACCAGAAGCTGGTGAGTGTGTGGAATGCATTTGGGACCTTTGGTGTCTGTTGAAGTTAAAAGAACAGTCCTCAGGGCGTCATGGGAGTACTTGTATTCCATCTTTAATCTTTGTACCTGACATAATGCCTGGAGCACAGTAGGTGCAAAACAAATATTTGTTGACCTGAATGTCTTGGTTCTCCGTATAACTAGTTTCACCCTCATGTTACAGAGGATATTTGCGTATAGATCAAATTAAAAGCTAGGAATTGCAGAGATTTTGTGCTTTCCCTCATTTCTATACAGTACTTCATCACATTAATCAGTTTCGTGGGAGAAATTTTCTATTTGAAAATGCCTCTCATCATCATTGTGAGTGAAATGTCAGGGATAATGATGGGAAGATGGTGTATCAGCTCTACCACTAGTGATGTGCAATTTGCAAAATTGTGTTTGCTTTACAGCACTTCCACAGGAGGTTTATTTGTGTGGATGAAGCTATGAAATATGGATGTATGTTAGAGGTACATTAATTTGCCCTAGCAGCATGCATTTTACATACCATATGTTTATAGTTAATTAGCACAACAAACCCGCATTTAAAAATAATAATAATCTCAATTAGGTTATGCAAAATCAAGCAGTCAGCCACCTTCCTGACACATACATTCTCTGACTCCTTTGGTACCCATAAAGAAATTGTTTTTTTTTTCTCTATCTTCCATCTGCTATCTGTTGCATTGCATAGGATGGCCAAGTACCAGAAACCTTTCCACAGTATTATTTTCCAACATTAGAAAATGTTCATAAGATTCTCTTAGATTTTTTTCTTATGACATTCATAAATTTATGTTCAAAATGTCTTTATTGAATTTAAATAAGGAACTGTATATTCAAATCCACAGTGGTACATTAGGGAAAAGTTGTGAATTTAAATCATTAAAACGATTTCAAAGTACTTATGGTACTTTTTAAAGGTGATTGTGAAGTAGAATCTATTTTCGTATCTTAGTCTGTAATAGGTAACATGTATTCACAGAATTTTGAAAGTTGGAAAGAAACAGAGGTAACCTGGGCTGACTTCCCAATGCAATGATCCTCTCTGCTGAATTCATGCTGAGCAGTCATCTAGCTTCACTCGAGTGCTTTCAGCCAGTGGAGTCCTATAGCCTTACAAGGCAACTCAATTTATTTAATAGCCCTAATCGTTAGAAAATTTTCTCATATTGAGATAAAATATGCTTCCCATTAACTTCTAACCATTGGTCCTAGTTGTATTCTCTGAGGCAATAAGGGATAAGTCTAATTTCTATTTCATATGACGCCCCTTCAGTTGTAAAATAGCTGTCCGTCCCTCCCAGTCTTCTCTTTTCGGAATAAACACCCCCAATTTGTTAACTGTAAATCTGATTCATTCCCATTGTTTTCAGTAGAAATGAGCCAGTTTTATCAATGTGTCTCTTAAAATGTAATGACTGAATGCTGGGCTGCAAATGCTGTCCACCTGTTACTTCCCTTGTTAGGATACTATACTCTACAGTTAGGTGAGACTGAGGGCTCACAGTGCTGGCAATCAGCCAGAAACCCCTGAGGGTTTTCGCATCATACCTTGGGGCTCCTCATTTTCTACCTAGCTTCCTCCACTACTGAAGCTTGTTGACGGCCCTTCCTAAATGTGTTCATCTGTAATTTGATGGGCATTGGCATTAAACTTGCAAGGCCCTAGAGAGAGAGCCTAGGAATCTACCTTCAAAGATCTCCTTCTTCATTGTCAGTTCCTTATATTTTTGTGATTTATTAAATAGCCAATTTGCAGACCAGGTCTCTTGTACATTCTTAAGTGTATTCTTGTTCAGAATCAAAACAATTTGTTATACCTTATTTGAAAGTTAGAACACACCTGTATTGGGCCGGGCGCAGTGGCACACCTGTAATCCCTGCGGTTTGGAAGGGTGAGACAAGAAAATCTCAAGTTCAAAGCCATCCTCATCAAAGGCCAGGTGCTAAGCAACTCAGACCCTGTCTCTAAATAAAAAATATTAAATAGGGCTGGGGATATGGCTGAAGTGGCCGAGTGTCCCTGAGTTCAGTTCCTAGTACACCCCCCCCCCAAAAAAAAATACACCTGTATTGGGTTCCTAAAAATGGTATTCTCACGGTCTTCTTGTGAATAATCTAAAGCATTGGTTCTCCAATTTGAGTTTGCCGGGGAGATGTGCTGAAACTGACTACTCAGCTCCACTCCCTAAGTTTCTAGTTTGCTAGGTCCTAGGTGGGGTGAGAATTTGCATTTCTAATAAGATCCCAGGAAAGCTGATCTTTCTGATCCATTTTGAGAATAACTGATCTAAAGAAAGATGGATTGAGGAGCCAAGTGGATTTGTAAACAAGATTGAGAAGTGTGTGGATAATAGAAGCTGGTAGAAATCATGCTTGTTAGCTTCAGTTTACCTTTTTTTGGTGCTGGGGATTGAACCCAAGGCCTTGTGCATGCAAGGCAAGCACTCTGCCAACTGAGCTATATCCCCAGCCCAGTTTCAGTTTACTTTTAAGATAATCTGAAACTGCCAGTTGAGTTAGGGATCTTGCGGGGAGAGGTACATATTTGAAATAGTCTTTGTGGGGAGAACACCTGTTAGTTGTGGATCCTTCCCTTCATCTCTGCCTTTCTACCTTGTGCCCCCACTAGATTAAGTGTTTACATACATAATCCCACTTAACCTTCACAGTAACCTTAAGGCAGGAAACAAAACCCTCCTTTTACTGATAGAAAATATGTAAACTTTCCTAAGGTCACATAACAAGTTACTGGGAAAGCCACTGTCTGACCCCTGAGTCTGTCCTCTGCCTGAATGCTAGAGGGCCTGTGGTGAGTGGAGGTCACAGTGAGGCCGCCCTGAGACCTGGTGGACTGAAAGCTGACATCTAGCCAACTTCACATGCAAGAACTCAGTCTCCAAAAAGCTAGCATATATCTTTGAAGGCATAGTCTTTTAAGGCCAAAAGCTAAATTCTTCTTTCTAATAAAGTCTGTTGTGTTAGGTAAAAAATTAGTATTGTACCTTTAGTATTAGATAACATGAGTTTGTCATGAAAGATTTTACCTTTTTTATGATGAAATTGTACTGCCATAGAGGACTCTGTGGGCTGTTAATTATTAAGTAAGAAGCTCTTCCTTTTTTTTTTTTTTTTTTTTGTGGTGCTGGGGATTGAACCCGGGGCCTTGTGCATGCAAGGCAAGCACTCTACCATCTGAGCCATATCCCCAGCCCGTGAACTGTTACTTTTAAGAATTTCTTATTAAGTACCTTGGTTTCACCTGCATCTTGGCATTAGCTTGTTTGTTTATTGGATTGAAAAGCTTTATAAATGTTGGCTCATTTGAGTAAATTTTTTTACCTTAATTTTTTTCAAATTTCTAGGTAGATTATGACAATCATGCATTTTATAAACATGGAAAGAAGGGTCGAAAACAGTCTCCTGTGCGTATTTTTACCAACATTCCACCCAACAAAATAATCCTTCCTACTGAAGAAGGGTACAGGTAAGATCACAATAGGACTTTGAAATTCACGTCACTGAAAATATGGTTATGTGTAACTAAAACAGTGAAGTGCTTTCAATATTGAGTCATTTCATTTTTCTGTTGTTGTTGAGTTTGGTCCATAATTTCATATTGAATTGAATTCTGATTACCTCCAATTCCTGGAATAAGTGCTTTGTAAACTTTTATCTACTCTGTGAATCTCAATAAATATAAGCAGTTGTTTCATATCTCTTTAGGTTTTGCCCTCTGTGTCAACGATATGTTTCTCTTGAGAATCAACACTGTGAGCACTGTGATTCTTGCACATCCAAGGTACAGTTTGGTTATATAATGTATTTTTTCTTAATTCTTTTTAAAAAATTTTTTAGTTATACATAATACCTTTATTTTGTTTATTTATTTTTATGTGGTGCTGAGGATCGAACCCAGGGCCTTGCACATGCTAGGCAAGCGCTCTACTGCTGAGCCACAACCCCAGCCTTTAATTCTTAATCTATAAAAAGACTCCTTTTAAAATTTTGTTTTTAATTGATACATTGTAATTATACATAGTAGATTGATATGTCATATTTGTCCATGCACATAGTTTGCTTATTCTCCTTCCCCAGTACCTTCCCTTTCCATCCTGTCCTCCCTCCCCCATTCACTTGTTCTACCAGTCTTCTATTATTATTATTTTATTTAGTACATTGTCATTATACATATAAGTAGAATTCCTTGTGGTATATTTGTACCTGGATATAACATACTTTGGTAGATTTCATTCCTCAGTACTTCCCATATTGTCTCACTGGATTCTCTTCCTTTCTTCTATGGGTCTCCCTTCTATTTTTGTAAGAACATCCCCACCCCTTTATTTCTTTCTCTTCCTTGTATGAGAGAAAACGTTTGACCCTTGACTATCTGAATCTGACTTATTTTACTTGGCATGATGTCTCTGGTTCTATCCATTTACCGACAGATGACATAATGTTGTTATTTTTTGTAACTGAGTAAAACTTCATTTTGTATATGTACAATATTTTCTTCATCTATTTGTTGATGTGTACCTAGGCACATTCCGTAAGTTGGCTGTTGTAAATTGTGCTCCTGTGAACATTGGTATACATGTATCACTATTGTATGCTGGTTTTAATTCTTTTGGATAAATACCAAGGAGTAGGATGGCTTGTTCTATTCCCAGTCTTTTGAGTAATTTCCATACTGCTTTCCAGAGTGGTTGAACTAATTCGCAGTCCAATAAGCAATGTCCTTGAGTGTGTATCCCCACCCCATCCTTGCCAGCTAAGTATATTTTAATACAATAGTACTTTATTTCTAGTTATAGAGTACAACAGGCTTTTAAAAATACTTAATAGCCTTCATCATCATCAACAGTTACTTGAATTCATTTTCATATGATACTGTGTAACTGATAAAATTAGGAGTGTTTTAAAATAAGTCACTGAGTACTAGATTTGTAGTACTAGATTTGTATGTCTGTTGAGGGAAAAATTATTATGTTTCAAATAAGGCATTGAACTATGGATACCATCACTGTTATTAATTGTAGTAATAACTAATAACATGTGTGGTGCACTTTTTACATGTCAGGCCCTTTCCTAAGAGCTTTGGGTTTGCATGGATTAATGCATTTAATCCTCACAACAGCTTTATGAGGTAGGTACAGTTACTCTCCACTTTTTACAGATAAGGAAGGACTATAAGGGTCATGTCTCCTATTTATTATTTTGTCTTAATAAACTTTATTTTTTAAAATAGCTTTAAGTTCACAGCAAAATTGAACAATGGGTACAGAGATTTCCCATGTTCTTTCTACCCACCTTCCCAAGCATAGGCCCCACTGTCAGTAGATGCACGCACCCATCAACACTTTGTAACACCATGAGTCATGACTTACATGAAGGTTCACTCTTGGTGTGGCACATTCTTTGGATTTGGATGACTGTATAATGACTGTATCCACCAGATAGATACCTACCGAAGGACATCTTCTTGGTTGCTTCCAAGTTTGGGCATTATGGATAAACCTTCTATTTCATTTTTAGGAAGAAAGAATGCCCCTTCAGTTTTGTTTATTTCCACATTAGAAAAAGGATGCTAGTTTTTTTTTTTTTTTTTGGAGGGGGGGTACTATTAAACACAAATTATTCTCCCAAGAAAAGGCTGAATTTATATAAATATTAGAAAAATTATTACTGATCATGCTTGTTTTTTCCCCCACTTTTTTTGTGGGTGCATTATAGTTGTACTCTACTTGTTTTTAACTATAGAAATACTTTTGATTATATATTTTCACTTAGTTTAGAAATGATCTGTATTTACGCCCAGATTGTGTAGAGTTTAAAATGGAGGAATACAAAACATTATTATTTAGAGATGCAAATATAAATGGCAAACGTAAAAAGAGCAGGGAAATGAACATCTCAAAGACCAGAATAGTATTTGTTGTTCTTGGGGAAAGAGGGACACTGACGGGAAGGGGCACCTGGGGTGGGTCTGGGTGCTGGTGATATCTGCTTCTTGACCTGGTGGGTTTCCTTAGTATTGCTTTAAAATATGCCTTAAATTAGACATGTGTATTATGTACTTTTCTCGGTATATTTTACTTCACAGTTTTAATATTACTCAAATAGTAATCCATAATCTATCTTTGTAAGTTACTTAAAGCTCTCAAATATGAATGTCATTAAGAATTATATAGTATAGACACATAAAATTATGAATCATTAATTCTCTTGAAATTTTCATTATGAATCCTTCTTTGTACAGATTAGGTTGCTTGAACTGGAGTGGATTTTCAAGATCATTTAGATAAATCTCCTAATTTCACAGTTAAGGAAATTGAGGCCCATCAAGGAGGCATTTGAATTGAGTAGAGAAATGCATAAATTAAAATCAGAGTATTTAATTGTGAAGCCCAGGAAAGAGAGAAATAAGGAATGAATAATTTACATAGATTTTAATAAGGCATTTTAATTTTTAATTGTGGAACTTGATTTTTAATAACAAATATAATTTAAAAATTGTTTTTGTAGGATGGCAGGAAATGGAACCATTGCTTTCTCTGCAAAAAGTGTGTAAAGCCTTGTAAGTATTGAGACTGGTGTTTGAGCTCTCTGTAAACATTTTTGAGTTCTTCCTCTAAGTAGTATTTTTATTTCATTACATTTAAAAAGAAAAAGTAATTAATGTAGAGACCTGATAGAACTTATTTGCTTTTTAATCTTTATAATTACCAACCTGTATGTTTTGTTTTCCATGGGGAGAGATGACTGCTAACCTGTTTCACTGTGGCATTTGGCTTGACTAATTGTTTTATTATTATTATTATTTTGGCTTAACTAATTTAAATAGGGCACTATGCTACTCAGTCAGTTACCACTGTGACTGGCTCTCAGCTCATGACTTTTGAGGAAGGGCTGAATTTGTTGCCTTGTAAATCAGAAGTTACCTGGTTTAAGTGGGATTCTACCCTCTTTGGTTTCTTTAGCCAAATTAAACTAGCTGTGCAAACCAGCCACAACATTTAAAATAAATGTTATTCTTGCATTCTACCTTAAAAATCAATAAAATTAAAAGTTATATCGAGTGAACTTCTAAAACTTCAATTTTTATTTTACAGCCTGGATCCACTGTAGCATTTGCAATCACTGTGCTGTTCCAGATCATTCTTGTGAGGGGACGAAAGATGGCTGCTTTATTTGTGGTGAATTAGATCACAAACGCAGTACTTGTCCTAACATTGGCACCTCTAAGAAAGCTAACAAGTTAGTTGAATTTTTTAATTACTAGAAAAAATTTTCTTTGTGTACTTTGTATGGAACAATCTACAAAAGTACAGGGCGTCCAGAGGATTCAAAAGTGCCAACTTGTTATTGTTGCCATGACATTGTTCACAGAGATGGGGGAGGGAGAATGCCCAGAGGTCTGAAAGGGTGCTTTCAGGGAGCTCCGGGCTTTACAGGTGACACACAGAAATAACCAAACATGAGGTGGAAGGTGATTTCACATCTGTGGTTCATATAGAATCATAATTTTGAAATGAGAGTTCAGGCGTTATGGAAGGACAAGATATTTAGGTCAGGCCTTGAGGCACAGATCAGATACAGACATACAACGGTGGATAGAGAAGGCATTTCAAGAGGAATTTCATTTGATTCCACGCAGTGAGAAATGAAGTTATTTCTTTAAATTACATCCAGTTTCATTGAAAATATTGAGACATGTTTAATACTTAAATATTTAAATTTCTATTATTATTTTTTCCTGTGATTATTTTCACTATTCCCACCATTATTTCTTTCTGATTGTTACTCAGAGCAAAAGTTATACCAGTGACAGTACCATACTTAGAAAAACTACTGTTATTGCAATGGGGTGAATTTGAATGATTATACTTAAAAAAAAAAAAAAACAACTAAAAGAGGTTCTAGGGATTAAGTTGTCTTGTTTTATTGATTTTTTTTTAAAGCAAAAACAACAAAAACTATTTAATATCACTGTTATTAGTTGCAGGTTACCAGATCAAAATTAGGATAAAAATATGGAACTGTATCATATGATTTGTGATGAAAATCCATTAGATTAGTTAGATTAGTATTACAAATATCTGATGCTTTTATGATTATTTTCTACTTATTTATTTATTTATTCCCCCCCCCCCAGTAGAAATTAGTATTTTTTGTGGTACTGAGGATGAAATCCACAGGCTCTCTACCACTGAGCTGTATCCCTGTTTCTTAGGGTTTTTTTTTTTTTTTTTGTATTGTACCTTATTTTATTTATTTATTTTCATGTGGTGCTGAGGACAGGTGGGCCTCACACGTGCGAGGCTCACACTCTACCACTGAGCCACAATCCCAGCCCCTCCTTAGTTTTTTTTTTTTTTTTTTTTTTTTTTTTTTTTTTTATGAAACTAAGTTTCTGAGGCTGAGTTTGAACTTGCAGTCCTCTTAATTCACCTTCCCTAGTATCTGGAATTACCGGTGTATGCCACCTCACCAGACTGGAATTTTTTTCCATTAAAGTCCAGCCACTTGAATTCTGCCTGCTATTTAAACTGCCTCTTTTCAAATTTAATTATTTTCACTAGGTAGACCAAGGTAGAGTAGAATCTAAAAAACAATAATTAAATGAATCTTTTGTTTTTCCCTAGAAACCTCTGACTTTTAATCTGGAATTATTGCATAATTTATGGTGTAATTTTGGGTGAAAACAGAAGTGACAGGTTCAGCCTTTAATTCTGTGAACTTAGTATACATAGAAACTGAGTTGGCATTTTGGTAATTGTAGGCTCTTCGATGCTTCTTAAATGACTAGTGTATTTGATACTAATGTTATTTTCATTGGGGGAAATCATCTAGTATATTTCATGTTAGATTATAACAATTTTAATTCTAAGAGCAAATCCCTTGAAATGTGGTTTTCCTGATAATTCTTAAATAGTATTATTACTTTCTTCTGTAAGAAGAATCCTAAACTTGTTATTTCTTTCAAAAAATGTTCATAATGAAATTGGCAAGGCAAAATTATTTTTTCATCAAAATAGTATTTTATTTATTATTTCATCAAAATAGTTTTAATAGCCTTTTATCGCATGTGTTGTAAAAGGTCTCCCAAACTTATGCTCTTTACAACTGTCTCATTCTTTGTTTTTTCTAAGTGGTAATTTTCCTTTAGGTGTGAACTGGAATGGTGCTGGCTCCCTCTTGTGGTTAAAACTCGTTTTATCAGTTACATAAATCCTTGCATTTAGAGGACAGATACTAGGTCAATTTAATTTTAAGGTAGAATAAAACAGTTAAGTTATTATACTCAATAAGTTCATCACAGTTAAAAGACATTATCTCTGGAAGGTTTATTTATTTACATTACAAATGAATATTTGTAAATATTTTCCTTCTGGTTTTGTTTACTATATTCCCAAGTGAGATCTGGTTCGTTTTTAGTCTTACTTATGGGTAGATGAACTGAAGAGAAATTTAAATTTTGTATATAGAAACACATGGTTCATTGACTTTGCTATTAGTGAAAACACTTTACTTCATTAAATTTGCTAAATCATTACTTATCTGGAAATTATCCTCTTAAAAAAAGAAGGGTGGGGGAGAGAAGAGATAAATTTATAAGGATTTTTTGTTATGAACTGATGAGATATCCGAGTCTATAGTGCAGAATCTAAATGTGGAAAAAAGTAATGTTGTCAAGCAAACTTCCACATAATGATCATGTAAAACTACTAATAATAGCCAAGGTTTATTGAATGACTACTATATGGTTAGCATTTTACTTCAGTAACTTAGAGTATATGTATCAAGGTGATTAAAATCACAGGATCTAAATCAGCTGGTCCTGTTGTTTCCTGTTTGGATGATATAGGACTTCAAAGCCTCAATTTCTTTTTTTTTTTT